TTATCAGTCTGCAAAATTTTTATCAATATGTTTCAATTAGTTTTTAATGATCGGTACTGACCGGCAATAAAGTTATCTGCTGCAGTCTCATTGTAGAAGCTTGATGACAAGCGTACGTGTCAAATAAGACGACTACACGTTGGACTCAGTGGAGAGCCATGTCAAGAGGCTCATTGGTAACCTTGATATGGTTGAAACCAATCTTGTCAGCCTCGAGCACAGGCGCAGAGCAGCCAGCCTCTCGGTATTCTATAGGATTCCTTTTCTGAAAGTGTGCGCAGGAATTACATGCTTTAATTCCTCCCTCTCCTTTCCACCGTCGTACAACCAGACGGTCGGCGGGTCTTCACCCCTTTATCGTCGATATTCCATGCATTAGAACCAAACGTTTAGTTTCATATTTTGTAATGCGTACAGCTAAGGAGTGGAATAATTTGCCGGCGTCTGTCTTTCCGTCCGAATATAGTTTGAGTTTCTTTAAGGGTGAATATAGTGCTTTGAGGCAACTACGAAAACGGGTATATTTCGATTTATATTCATTTTTACCAAACGCAGTGTAACATAATATATTTATCAGCATCATATAATTAGATGCCATCATAATCACCCATCGTCCCTCTGGTTCACTCCAGTAAATATGTGTCGCTGCGTTTGGTAGAAAATATAAATCGGAATATACCCATTTTCTTAATTGCCCCACTGCACCTTAGGATTTTGGTGCGCTAAGACAGTGCGATTTACCATCTCGGACTTCTACACCACTTACCACCAGGTGGGATTGTAATCAAGCACTAGCTTATAATAAGTAAAAAAAAAACAAACATTTTTGTTCTAGTCATTAATGGCGGCCGTCAATATATAATCTACATCAGGTAGTTTAGAAGAAAACTCTACCTTTATGGTGAAAAAACTATAGTGCTATCTATATAGCTATTATAGAGATATCATGTTACTTTACGAGCAAAAGCCACACTGCAGCTGTATTATGGATGCCCATTACCATTACCCTTCGAACGCGAAAGGGTCATTATATCTTAGAAAAGCAGTGTAAAATAAAAGAATAATACTACCATGCTTCATATGCTTAGTGACAAAAATTGTAGATTTTTATCGAAGATAGATGTAATGAACTTTAAACTCGTTTGTCACCCTTGTATAAAAATATTGCTATTCACCTATTCCTTTCTCCACAATTAAACCGATGATGACCCAACATTTCCGAATGCTTCCGATTTGCGATGATTAACCCCACCCACGCTCCACGCTTTGTGCGGGTCCGTCAAATAAATATGAGAAACGGCAGAGAAATAAAGATGAGGTGGAAAAGAAAAAAGGTAGCAAATTGAAACGCTTGTGATGTACGTGTTTTAATTTGCTAGCTTTTTTTCTTTCATTTCTTACGGATGGCAAAATATGGGAAGAAATTCTATTGGTATAATCGGAGATACCAAAGACACTAGTTTGGATTGTCGATCAAAGGAATATGTTAAGTTTAACCCCTTAATTGAAAATTGCAACACGCTATAAGCAGGAGTGCTACTAGACCTGGGCTGATGCTTCGAAGTCCCGGTATGTAAACACCAGAACTCTTAAAAAGATGTATAATTACGCCTCCAGGTCCCTCAAAAGAGTCATTGCCATGGCACATCGGAAGAATCGACGAGAAACGTAGAGCCACGCAGCAGCTATATTATGGTTGTAGCACGAATGGGTCGGCTCGACCGGGGTAGGACCACGCTCTCATAAAATACCAGCGTAAAATAGCAGCTTGATTGCTGTGTTTCGTATGATGAGTGTGGAGAACCGGAGACCCTTTAAACTGGAAAAGAGGCATTCCATCTTAATCCTCAGGGTGACAACGCATCTACACTTTGTTTCTGTGGGTATAGGTGTAGATGTCAATAGGCCACAGTAGCCACTTACCATCAGGTGGACTGTGTGCTCGTTTGTCACCCTATTCTATAAAAAAACTAGTTCGATTTCCTTCGAGAACACGTGCATTCTGGTCTCTCGTCAAGGCTGTCCAAGGGAACTTCTGTCAGCCATCTCTCCCATCTCTTCACAGGGATGACGACTCAAAGGAGAAGAAAGCCGATATGCTAAGTTTTCTCTTTGCATCTAACTCGACTCACTCTCGAACACATTGCCGACCATCCCGCGGTGTGAGTGCTCCATGCAGGATGTGCTGTTTAAACAGTGCTCGGTGCGCCAAGCACTCCTCTCCCTGGACATCAACAAGTCGAGTTGGCCTGATGGTGATCTTCCCATTATGATGAAGACATCTGCTCTGGAGTTGACAGCGGTTTTAACGCGTCCGCGTGCGTTTTGATCGGTTTACCGAACTCATGGAAGACAGTTTAGCGCCGCCACAACCCTATCCTTAAATAAGACAAAGACTCAGATACATCCAACTATAGGCCTATCGCCATCACCTCCTTGTTTTCTAAAATAATGAAAACCATTATAAGCTGCCAGCTCATGAGGTACCTTGAGGTTCACCTGTTGATTAGTGACCGTCAGTATGGTTTCCGTCTGAATCGATCAGCTGGTGACCGAATTCATAGATGAGCGAAGGCACTAGAGTTCAAGGACTCGGAGTCTTGGCCGTTAGAGTGGACATTGCGAAGGCCTTCGACCGAGTTTGGCACAAATCCTTCTTTCGAAGCTTCCTTCCTATGGGGTTCCCGAGAAATTGTACAATCAGATCACAGTAGTAGACGGTGCATGCTCCAATTACAAGCCTATTAATGCACCGGCCAGCATTAATAGGCTGTATTCCACAAGGCTTCGTGCTATCACCAACGCTGTTTCTTCTGCATATCAATGATATGTTGCAAACCGGTAACATTCATTGCAATGCGGACGTCAGCACTGGTATTGCTTTATACACCGGTCGTGGCAATATTTCTCGAGAAAACGTCGCTGACTACCGGGACAAAACTCAGTCTGTCTGAAGTCGAATCTTTATTGAACAAAGTCAAAGTCTATCCCCAGAAGACAAGTTTGCGCGTTTACCACTAAAAAGAATCCCTTTGCCGTATCATCTGCTGGTGATCTTCTGGTCTACCTGACTCATAGATAGGCGGAGGCATAAAAGTCCAAAGGGGACGCATTGGCCGTTACTTTGGACATTGCGAAGACCTTCGATCGGGTTTGGCACAAAGAGCTTCTTTCGAAGCTCTCTTTCTATAGGCTTCCCGAGAAATTGTGCAATTGAATCACCAGCTTTCTTGCAGATCGGAGCATCTCCTCAGTTTCAAGGCACTCCCCTTGTTGTCTCAGCCAGTATCGGAATCCTCGGCGTCGACATATCGAATGATGTACAATTTCGTGGTCACTTGGAAGAGAAGGTCAAATTGGCCTCTTAAACGCTTGGCGTGCTGAACGGGACAGTTTTTCATGTCGGCATACCACTTGCAACTTTACAAAGCGCAGGTTCGGCCTCACATGTAATACTGTTCCCATCTCTGGGCCGGGCACCCTAGTGCCAGATCCTTCCACTTAACTGCATCCAGCGCAGAGCTGCTTGATTGTCGATAAACGAGTTCTTTCCGATCGGCTGGATTTACTGGTGCTGCAAATAGTGGTTGCTTCCCTTTGCATTTTCTATCGCATTTACCACGGGGAGTACTCTAAGTAATCTCTAAGTAATAGTTCGGATTAATTCCAGCCGCCGAATTTCACCAACGCACATCGCAACAAAACTTGCGTTACCATCTACATCATCTGGATGCTTGGCGGTCCACTACTCTGTGATTTACTAGGAGTTTTCTTCCTCGCACGACTACTTTGTGGAATCGTTTACCACCGGCGATTTTCCTGAACCGATACGACTTAGGGACCCTCAAGAAACGAGCTTACTCCTTTTGAAAATGCCGGCAACGCACCTGCAATTCCCCTGGTGTTGCAGTTCATGGGCGGCGGTTGATACTCACCATCAGGTGAGCCGCATGCTCGTTTGCTATTCTTATAAGTAGTACAACTCAACTATGCAACTTAACAAGATTTCATGCTTTTATAGCTCTGTATTTTGTCGCTCCTTGAATAAGGAGAGGAATAAGAGGAAGAACTGTGCTTTCGTTAAAGAAGCGGCAGCTAAATAGCGGCTGGCGTTGGTGGAATCGCGAATGCATGCCTATATGCGGCGAAGATATTTCACCATGGGGCCTTGGTCGGCGCGAGTCCGATATATCTTTCACTTCCAACGTAAACCGATGAAAAGATCAAAGTTATAAATATATAATTGAATAAAATTCATTTTATCGGTGAAAAACAGGCTAACGTATTTGTAATAGTATTTGTTTCTTAATTCTTATTCTGATCTACGCAAAACCAATAACATTATATTAAGGCCCAAATTCAAAAATACCATTGATAGGATCCTAAAACGATGGTAGAGTCCAACAACCTTGTACCAAGCAATTTCAAAAGCAGTGTGCTTTTGCCATAACTTATTGTCTATCAAATCTTATGTAGATAATGGTTGGAGACTAACTAGATTAGACTAGGCTAGATATTTCGTAGTTGATATAAGCTATTCTTTACACGGGTTATAATTAAACTGTAAGTGTAAAAATTATATTTATAACTATATATTAGTCTCTCTCTCTATAGGTGTGAATACGAAGAATCAATTTGATAATATCATTTACGAAATTTGGTATTAAAGATTTCGCAAAGAAGGTATTAAAGATATTTTACAAAATTATATCAATAAAAATATTAAATATATTGTAGACCTTCCTTCCCTATATAGATCGAAGTATGTTAAAACAACATTCATACTAAATTTACAAAATCTTCAGCCAAAACTTAAATTTAGCCCCGACAAAGTATAGACCAATGTTAAAAATTAGTTAACATCCAAATACAATAACTGAAACCTTTCCTAATATTCCCTGTATTAGAAATCTTTGATATAATTACTCTTTGATACGACAGCCTATAAAAATGTTATTGACATACACACAATGCTTGCAATCCCTGTTAAGGTTTAGTACCTTGAACGTGCAAAAACAACATTCAAACTCAGAAGGCAGCTGATCCAAGTCAAGTTGTTTGTCAGCCATTTTCTTTTCCTAAAAAAGAGAAAATTTAAGGGGTTAGTCTAATCTTCTGCAGCTACAAATGTTAGTTAACAACAAAATAAATCATTGGCGATTTTCGTTTTGATACTTTAATAATTATACAAATCTTTCAGAAAACAATATCGGCAATCGACAATGATTCCTAATTACAGCTTTTAATAAATAGAAAATTAGCCAACCTTGCGTAGTTAAGGTATATTTTTGTAAAAAAATAATAAAAAGCATTAGCTAATAGTGGATGGAATGTGATCTTACTGGTGTGGGATCAGGATTAATGAGCAAGCGTTTCTCTGGCGTGCCCAGGCCCTCGGTGGAGTAACGTCGATCCTTTTTAGGACTGCTCTGAAACTGCGTCCTATTGTGTCAATAACAGGCTTTGTGATTGAGCTCAAATGGGTGCGTCCAATATTTACACTAAGTGCAATACTGGGTAAGTACAAAGTAAAGCACAAAGTCAGTTACGTCTAGGTTTGAACAATACTCGGCTTGAAAAAGTTGACAGAAACGTGTTTAATTTTAAACTATAATGAAAAAAATCATATTTTATGATCTTCAAGATCACAAATATATGTAATATATTAAAGTAGTATATTAAAATAAGATAATATATTTAAATGTGAAATTTATTTACATTTAACTTCCTATTTAAAATATATTAAACTTTATAAAAATTTAAATCGATAGATTAATCTTAATTAATATATACAGGTAGATAGAGAATCTGTCTTGTTTCGTAAATTACCAAAGTAAACACTAAAGAAGGTGGTGTATGATCCATCATTATGTCATTGTAGACTTAGCAGATTTAATGGTGGAAGAGAAATGATTCGTATATATCTGTACTATTACATCCGTACCTTTCTTCGATGTTGTCACATTATTCTTAACTATTAACAATTTTTTTTGTACTGATACTTACTATACTTTTACGACAGGCCACTTGAAAGTTTTGCTAAACAAGTTTTTCTATGAGACACTGGCCAGTTATAAGTTATTTTAAAAATATTAAAAAAACGAGTCTAAAAACGACTTCAATTTCAAATTTCTTTCCATATTTTTAAGAAGCATAATTTAAATATCGTGTAACATTGAAACACGGATCTGCGTCGGGAACCTTTTCGCGCAATTACTTTTTACTATTTCAAATTTCGTCTAAGAATGGACAAATCGTCATATGTACACAACATGGACAAATCTTGATAGACTAAAATGAAATTTATAAATAAAGGTCCTTCTAAAACCTTCTTCTATCTATAAAAAATTTCAGCACGGTCGGTTAACTTTGAAAGATGAAGAAAGAAGTAGTCACCCTTTGACGGTTGTTACGGAAGTAAACGTGCTAGCAGTGAAAAGTGTATGATGCCACCCAACCTCACCAATACTAAGGAGGCCCATGTGGAATGCTTTTGTGATATGATTATTGAATTTCTAGCAGATTCCTCTCTTGCAGATGATGAATTTTGGATTTTATTAATACAATACAAAAATGAAGCGTCGGTCGCCTACCAAAGTGAAGCGACCGAGAAGCGTAGGTAAGATTTTAATCAATAGCTTTTTTTTCATTTTGACGGGGTAGCTGGTGACAACTTCTTTACGAAAACGAAGTATCATCAGAGCCAAACCTATACGAAATGCTTACCGGAAGTGGTAAATGCTGTAACTCCGGAAACTGCGGCTTCACATGACAACACGCCCGAGCAATTAGCGCTTGAAACTAGGGACTACCTGGACAGCCAGACACCGATTAAGATTATGGATCCTTACAGTCCTAGAGCCCTGATTTGGCACCATGTGACTTCTTAGCACTAGTGCGAGTTTTTATTAGGAGGAATATGCGCATCTTAGCATCGTTAGATGCGAATATTAGCATCGTTAGAAGAGGTGTCTGAGGCGAGCTAGAAAATTGTTTCGAAAATGGGTTCAGACGTATGAAAATTTGTATATATGCTGATGGAGAGTTCTTTGAAAAGATTTAGTAGTAAAAATATTAATCACAGAAACTTATTTTTTCGTTTCACAAATATTTCCGAGTGACCCACGTATTATGTATAGTTGGCAAATTCTAGTTCTATATTATTTACAAAATTTCGCCGTAGCCAAAATTGGTTAGGAAGAATATCCTTGACGGTAATTCTAAATTAGTCCTTTTTTTCTTCAATACTCATACCACTATACTGATGTTGATACAGTCATGTATTCACTATTATGAATAATAATTTGTTAAAAAGCTTCTGGTACATACATACATACACACATACATCTGATTTGTTTTCATCAACTCATAAATAATTTACTGCTACGAGTTATGAGCTCGTAGTGAAAGTCGTAGTTATGAGCCTGTCTTGTATTCGCCTAATCAGCTCGCTTGACAGACGACTTCCGCATTAGCAGTTCGCAGAGTTTAGTTTTAAATTCGCGTGCAAGATACAAATTGTATGGATAGGTATTGCCATTTATCAGAGGCCCATGAAATCTTCTTTTTTTGCCATCATATGGAAATTACCTGATTTAGCTAAGTATTTGTTTCTCATTCGACTTTTGTTCAAGGTTAATTAATTAATGTACGTTGTCGCAGTGTAATTTTATTTACAAAAATAATGATTTTTAATAATTAACTTTAGATCAAAAAACCTTCAATTAAAAAAAAAACAAAAGAAAATTTTAACACTTATGTTACTTACCAATGCTGAGTTTACTAGAGGGAGAATTTTTATGTCAATTAATTAATTGGAAATGAAGAAAAATCAAAAAATATAAGTAGATGTCTACGGTCTTAATACATACCAATCGTCTTATTAAATATAGTAGTTTATAATTAGTCTCCGATTTAAGTTAGTCTGTTAAAATGTAAAAAATGAAATTTGAGAGAATATATTATCAAGTCTCTCAAAGACCGTGGCGCCACGGCTAAGGTACACATACTCGTATCTTGTGAAAAAGACTCTCTTTTAAGCCCGAGACTATAAATAAACTACGTTTTTTTTAACAAAACCGCAAGTTTTTACGAGAAAGTATTAATGTAAAGGTACATACCTTTTTGCAAGTCTTTTGAAAATATAAACTGGTATTATTTAAAATTTACAAAAACACATATACTTATATAACTATTATAGTTAATTTAACATTGGACGCACCCGGCTACCATCGGGTCTCACCTGATTAGCGTCAGTACCATCCGGCGTCTTACTAGAGATGACGTGCTCGTACTGTTTGTAACAACCAGTGGTTGCTGGAGCCTCGCCCTCCAGGCTTGTGGCGTCCGCCTGCGACAAGTTGTGTCCTGGAGACACACACCATCGTAAGTAGCCACGTCTCCGCTCCATTGTTTCACGCATGTCCATAAATATTTATAACAATATAACATGATCAAAATTGAGTCAGACGAACTAGTAACAATTAGAATAAATGAGAATAAATAGCAGCGTGAACTACACAACACACATTCCACACGAACAGTTTAATAAATCCAGCGTCCTCCGGTACACACAACGGGCAGTTCACAGAAGATATTGTTAGTTCTATGAAGCGTTAGGCTTACGCTAACAATGTGATCGACCTTATTTAAGTGTCTTCGTCGCACATCGCAAACTACACGCGACGCGAACCCGACCCCATGCTATGAACTTAATATTAAGGGGGCCGAGTATGACGACTGTGCGATAGTAGCAAGTAGCTCATCTGGCGTCGTCTCTCGCCTCAATGAGGACGCACTTGTCACCTGAAGACAAGGAATAAAACACTCTGAGTGCACCTCTTTAGGACGAACGAGTGAACATTGATGTAGCTGCGATGTAACGTGAACTCTTTGAATTTGAATATGCCTGCGAGCCCGGAGAGCTTGTCAATGCGACGTGCACACAATCAGCATTCATAGCATTCCGTTACATAAGTAGATGCAAAATGATCATAACACGAAAAAAGGCATGCGTGCAGAGTGAAATTGATAGTTTTAAAACGTTAACGAGCGGAGGACACATGACATGAAGAAGCAACGGCAAGTAGTGCCAAAGGGCTACTGACCTGTGTCTACGATGACGTCGATGAGGTCCATACTCTTGGCGAAAGCGTCGCGCAAGTTAATGTGGTGGAAGGATACGATGGAACCCTCACGCTTCGCGCGCTCGAGCGCCTCCCGCCGTTTGAGCGCCTTCTCACGCCGCATCTGATTCTTGTAAAACTCGGCGAAATTGTTGACGATAATGGGGATGGGTAACGCAATTACCAACACGCCGCAAATACAGCAAACTGAGCCGATGACCTTGCCCAACGGGGTCGTGGGGTAAATGTCACCGTATCCAACTGTGGTCATGGTGATGCCGGCCCACCAGAACGTTTCCGGAATGGAAATGAATTTAGTCCCCGGTTCTTCTTTCTCAGCAAAATATGCTAACGAAGAAAATATAAGCACTCCCATCGCGAGGAATAACATGAGCAGTCCGAGCTCCTTATAGGAGTTTCTGAGTGTAAAGCCGAGCGATTGCAGTCCGGTGGAATGTCGGGCTAGTTTTAGAATGCGCAATATTCGCATTATACGGAAGATTTGTACAACACGACGCACATCTTGAAACTGGTCTGTCGCGTTTTTGTTCGTTTCGAGTAGGAAAAGAGATACGAAATAGGGTAAGATGGCCAGCAAATCTATCACGTTTAGTCCACCCTTGAAGAACTTCCATTTATCCGGCGAGGCACTGAATCGTAGCACGTACTCGAGCGTGAACCACGTGATGCACACGGCCTCGACCATGGCCAGCTGCGGGTTATCCATGGGTGCGCCCTTGTCGTCGTATACTTGCATCTGAGGTATCGTGTTGAGAGTTAGCCCTATGGTGGACAGCACGATGAAGAGGATTGATATCACCGCGATCACCTGCAAGCATGCACCGAGTGAGCGTCAGGCGGCGCTCCTCGCCACCAAGCTGCCACCCCGCGCATATATTTCGCGACATATAAACACGTAGTTCTCGTATAAGAGATATTAACAAGGTGTAAGTAGTGATGTCAGTGTCTATACAGAGACTACATATCTGTACAATTATACAAGCTCAAATAAGTAACAATCAGAAACGTATATGTATATAGCGATGTATTTACAAGTAAATATGTCTCAGTATGTTATTGACAGTCTTAATGCAATAATATTTAAGGTTAATTATGTACTTCGGGTGTAAAAATAACATCTATTTGTGTTTGTTAGTTGTGTTGTGTGCTCGAAGTGTAGATTAGTAGTTAAATTACAGTTAAGTAGGATGAACGAAAACGCGTGAGTGAGTGGGGGTTTGGAGATGAGGGCGCGTGTTCGTTCATCTCCCGCGTCGCTCGGTTAGTCGGATGAGCACGACGAAGCGAAGCGCGAGTTGGTAGGGTAGGAGACATGGAGCAGGAAGGGGGTAGGGACGCCGGCGAGCGGCGCTTAGCCGTGGTGAGGAACGGCGCGGGCGCGGCGCGCGCGGAGTGGACGCGTGTCGACTGCGCGCGGAGCCGTCCCGTGCCGGCCCGCACGCCGGCCTTTAGCGTCGCCGGCGGCGGCTGGTCACATCGCGTAAGCCCATCCCGTTTTTGCAATAATGCGACAACAATTAAGCTTTGTTTCGTTTAATACATGTATGTCCCTTTCGAACATCGACGCGGCTGTGAACATCAAAAATTATTTGAAACAGAAGTTATGTTATGAACAACAGAATAGAATAAATAAAAGAAAGAGGATTACATTTTAATAAAATGCAGTAGAAGCTTTGATACAGAAATAAATAGACGAACCGACAAAAAGTTTTTGCTTTAAGCTTTACTTTAAGAAAAACAAGTAACCTTAATTTAATTTGTGTCAAAACTATAATATTACCCATAATTTAGTAAAGGCGAAGACACACTGAGTGCTACATTATTATGCTGTTCAAACTATAATAATATAGTGATATACTTTCACACGAACAGCATAATAATGTAGCACTCAATGTACCTACGCTTTTACTCGTAGCACTTTCATACGCCGAATAAAACTTACGGCTACGACGCCTCGTAGCATTTAGATTTACGACTATATTGTATTCAAAGTATAAGTATTGATAATATAGTATCAGAATTGTTGATAGTAAAATATCAGTCTGTTTTTTTATGATAATTCATATTTTTTCCAAGTTTTACTTTAAAATATGCTTTAGGACGATAATTGTTAATAATTATTACTTATAATGATATGCTACTCCAATTATTAGAAATCGTCTTAAACTTACTTTTATAATTAACAATAAACGCGTAAACTCAAATCATCATCATCATCATCATCATCATTACAGCCCTTCACAAGTCCACTGCTGAACATAGGCCTCCCCCAAAGAATGCCACAAAGCACGGTCCTGAGCCACCTGCATCCATCGACTTCCTGCATGTCTTACCAGGTCGTCACTCCATCTCGTGGGGGGACGCCCTACACTTCGCCTACCGGTACGAGGCTGCCACTCGAGAACCTTTCTTCCCCATCGGTTGTCGGTTCTTCGAGCTATATGGCCGGCCCACTGCCACTTCAGCTTACTAATCCGTTGGGCTATGTCGGTTACTCTGGTTCTACTGCGGATATCCTCATTCCTAAGTTTATCACGCAGAGAAACTCCGAGCATAGCCCTCTCCATAGCTCGCTGAGCGACCTTGAGCTTCCTCATACGGCCAGCAGTGAAGGACCACGTCTCAGTTCCATAAGTCATCACTGGCAACACGCACTGGTTGTACAATTTCGTTTTCAGGTTTTGAGGTATGTCTGACGAGAAGATGTGTCGTAGCTTCCCGAACGCTGCCCAGCCGAGTTGAATCCGTCGATTGACCTCTCGGTCGAAGTTGGACTTACCTAGTCGGACTATTTGTCCCAGGTAAACATACTCGTCAACAACTTCGAGCTTAGTGCTCCCAACAACTACCGGCATAGGTGTGACATGGACATTGAACATGATCTTTGTTTTGTCCATGTTCATCTTAAGACCTATCCGTTGGGAAACACTATCGAGGTCATTGAGCATAGTGCTTAGGTCCTCCAGCGATTCTGCCATAAGGACTATATCGTCGGCAAATCGAAGGTGAGTGATGTACTCGCCATTGATGTTGATACCGTATCCTTTCCAGTCCAGAAGCTTGAAAACGTCTTCCAATACAGCGGTGAAGAGTTTCGGGGATATGACGTCACCCTGTCTTACACCTCTCTGCAATTGGATAGGTTTCGTACTCTGGTTCTGTACTCGGATAGCCATCGTAGCCCTACTGTACAAGCACTTCAACACTTCGATATACCGACAGTCAACTTGGCACCGCTGAAGGGACTGCAGCACCGCCCAAATTTCGACGGAATCAAAGGCTTTCTCATAGTCCACATACGCCAGACATAGTGGCAAATTGTACTCTTCGGACTTCTGTACAATTTGCCGAAGGGTATGTATGTGGTCTATGGTGCTAAAGCCCTTTCGGAAACCGGCTTGTTCGGGAGGCTGGAAGTCGTCAAGTCTGCGCGCGAGACGATTCGTAATGACTCTCGAAAACAGCACGTAGACGCGGCTCAGAAGGGAAATCGGTCTGTAGTTCTTCAAGAGAGCGTTGTCACCTTTCTTGAAGAACAAGACCACCGCACTTCTGTTCCACGCCTCCGGTGTAATGCCACCATGGAGGACGGAATTAAAGAGCTTCTGAAGGACTTCAAGTACCGGTCTTCCACCCGCTTTCAGAAGCTCCGCTGTAATTCCATCCTCGCCTGGGGCCTTACCGTTTTTAAGGTGCTGGAGAGCCATTCTAATCTCGCTCAGACTGACGTCCGGGATATCTTCGGAATAGTGTCGGATGAGACTCGCTCTTGGATCGTTACTCACACTTGCGTGTGGCTCCAACGATGACGTGTACAGCTGCCCATAGAATGGGCAGCTGTACACGTCAACGTCTATGGGCAACTCAAATAAGAAACATAAAAATTTTGGTCTCAACTCGATTATCTGATAATTCAGTAAAATTTAATAATTCTATTTTTATAATTAAGGTTTAAAAATGAAATAAAAAATTTTAAATGATAATAAAAATATATAAAAATAAAAAAAATAATTATTGCTATATTATTTTGATACTTACATACACTTGTCTGTAGCACCGCTGTTGTCGAAACATAAATTAAAATTTCCCTGTATAATGCGAGTGAATAACCTAGTAGTAATTAAAAGTATAAGAATTTCGACAAAAGCGATCACATCACCTTCATAACAACATCGATAACAACACCGAATTCCTGCACGAAACGAGCGACACGATCTAGCAACATCGAAAATAGAGATAGAAAGAGAGAGATAGATGTTATTCATGCACCACAAACACAACACTTAAGTATGCACCAGAGATGTATGTAAAAGGTTTTTATATGTATATATTATATTTTCAATCGATTCGTTTTATAAATAGGTATAACATCGATTCATTAATACTAATAATACATAGATAATACATAAAACATAGGACAATTAGTGAGTAAAATACATGGCCGATTTCTTCTTGATAATTTTTCCACGAATAATAGTTTTATCAGTGTTATTTTTATCAAATAGATAACTTTTTTAAAATTAAATGGATAAGAAGAATGAAGAGAAAAAAATCCAAAAATAAATTCTTTTACATACACCTCATATACAAGTGATACAAGGATAGTTGCAATACTAAAGCTTGATCTGAAAAAGTCAAGTCTTATTTATGTTTTGCTTATGTGAAAATGTTTAAGTTAACATTAAGTAAAGTTTAAGTATGGAAGTTAAGTCATAATTAAAAAAAGCTAATTGATTGAACAGTATAAAGTGCAAATATTTGAAAATAAGAAATGCAAATCGTGATATTATGTTACAATATAAACGGTGTACATTTTGTACAAATTTGTTTTAATATGTTTTCACTGTTTGTTTCATACAAACTTTTATTTATAAAGTAACTGTGTATAAGTGTACCTATTTATTTCATGTGTCTCTCACTACATAGAATAACTGACAGGCTATAAAAATATATTAGAAACAGGAATGCACATGTGCCTTGCTTTTTAATCCATTGAAACTAACAGTAAAGAAAAGCAATCTAACTAACAATGATCTACTTATCGCCTAAATCTTTGTAACATATATTGTATACCTTCAATATAAAATGTATGACATTTTAAAAGTAATCCCTGGGCAGCTTTGCTAATTTAACAAGATTAGTACAATTAATTATTTTTAAATATGGTTTTAATGCCAGTCAATACGTTACCCTGGCGGCGATACTCGTAGTGGGTTTCTCTAGCAAGTCCCACAGCCACTTCTGATACTGGGCACAGGTGCCCTGACCGAATTCCTCCTCTTCGCGCTGCCGCAGACTCTCCGCTTCCTTGCGCATTTCTTCGTGAACGTGCTCTTTTCGTTGGTGATATTTGTGCTGACAACACGACTCTAAATACAGTTCATCCACGCCCCAGTATTCTAGATCGTCGCTAAACGCCAACACGCACATTTCGTCAACTAAATGCAACTTTCCAGTCCGATAAAAGTTAAGTATTGAACTGAAACTCTTTGGATGCCTGGAAAATAATAAATATATCACTTAGGTATAAGTATGATTAAATACCCAATAACGAAAATGTATAGAAACTATTTTTAAGTTTTTTTTTTTCACACACATTATACTCTTAGAAATTAATTAAGATCTTTCTTCAGCAGTGGGGTGTATATAGGTAGTTTAGTTACTTTACAAACCCAATAATGAACATAGGGATATAAATGGGTTTTCTATTATTAGAGTAACAAAACGGGCTAATGAAATGTAGACTACATGATAATAAACGGCTGTACTGCAGGCTGTGGAAACCCGCAAACAACTTGTAACAAAGAAGGCCACAGATGCCATGTCATCCCTGAGGACCAGGATGCAATTCCATACAGAGGTGTCATTATTTCAAATCAGAACGTACCAGAATATAGTAGAGTTCATCGATGTATATACCATACTGAAGTTTTAGATTTTTTTAGTTTATTTTAGAATTTATTTTAAATTTTAGGATTTATTTTGAATTTTAGTTTTTTTTAAAATTTAGGACACTGCCGTTGCTGTTCATCATTATAAAAAGCGGCATAAGGCTGCTGGTATAAGGTACCAGCTCTGATCTCCGCATTTCTTAGCTTATACTCGGCGTTATTTTTTTTTTGCCTATTGGAGCGGATACAGCGGATTCTCTTATGGCTCGGAAGAGGCATATGCTGATATGGGACTATGTACTCGTATGGTGATGATACCGAGGCATTAAAATTAGATTTATATTCAAAGTAATAAGGAAAATGATAATAAGCCTAGGTTGAAATGTTTAAAACTTGACGGTTTACTGTCTTAAAGTAAAATAATTTTTATTATATATAGGTTCTATACTTGACCAGAAAAAGTTATAATGTCATTTGCTGGTGGCACCAACAATTTTTATTCAACGTCTCATTTTGAATGAGTGTCAACTGCATATTGTTAATCGATTATTATTAAACACTAACGCACCTATCAAAAAAGTACTCGTTGTCCTGTAACGAGTAGTCGTTGCAAAGTTCAATGATTGCCTCGTGCGTGTTGCAATCACGCAGACGTCCGAGCCGTGTGTGAGGCAGCCTCTCTAGCGTACTCCACATCACCTCGTGCCGCACGCCGCCCACGTTGATTATGACGCGTTTGCTCAGCGCCTTAGCGCGGAGCATCATGAAGGGCTCCGGCGGCAATGACGACATCGACCTACGATATAATTTAAATTATTTTATTGTTGAACAGTCAATTTTTTAACTTTCATCTCATCTAAACATAATATAAATATCATGCTAGAATGTTTATATTTATAGGACAAAAACATACTATCGCAAAAACTTTCAAGTTGTTAGATTTGTTTTAATTGGGCGCCAACATCTTAATACTCTATACGGAATTATCTAACATAGATAACGTCTGAATGTACTCATCGTTATTTGTTACAAATATACCTACATTTATAATATTTTATATACTACTAGTTGGTACCCGGCGCATTGCTGCCGCAGAACAATTAATTGTGGAAATATCGTTTTAAATTTGGAATGGTTATATTGTTTAATTAGGAATGATAAAACATTACTTTCAAATAAAATCGGTACAATAGGCACGCTACTACCGTAAGTTTATTGTGCTGTGCCTATAACCATCGCGCAAGTGCAAGCAATAAGTTGACAAAGTTTTACTGCAAGCTGATGAATGATATTGCAGCTCATAAAATGCGAAGAAACAAAATATAAATTTTTATATATTAGATTTGTGAGATGGAGCTTCCCCTACTCTACTCCTTTCACGTATACTCCATTATGTTCTACAAGGATTGTTAAGGTTAAGGTAAACTAGTGTACACCGGCTAGAACTAATGTCTAATAAAGTTGCATTAAACATACCGACAAGAGATTATCTTTTGTGTACATAGTGTATAAGAGCCACAGTAATATAAATTAGATGATGAATCGAGACAACTGTCTAAACAAGTTTCATTAATCCTTCTTCTAAGCACAACCTCTCATTGTCTAGCAAAACGTTTCCAAATTCAATACATATGCATTTTATTTAATAAAAAATCAGCTGCTCTAAATAACTAATATAAAGTTTAAGTACTAACTAATAGTATGGGGCACAAAAGGAGTAAATATTAAAAAGCATCTACATCTCTTATCAAAGTTCACTGCTGAACATTGTCCTCCCCTTAGGTTGCTTCATTATTATGCATATCTGCCATAGTTGCCACACTTGACAGATGGGTTGACAACGATTGAAGACGCTGCTGCCCATCTCCTGATATGTTTCCCTATATCTCTCCTCTTAACCTTGATAAATTAATAAAATAATTGTGACTGCAACTTCGTAATCGTGACTGCTAGACAAATTATTTATCTTTATAACTGTTTAAAATAATCCACTGGCAAAAAATATACAAATTGGTTAAGAATCTATCTCCGAAAATTAAGCTTCCTTTCCCTGTCAAATTTTTCATCTTATTGAACATTGTTACCAATTGCGTTATTTATTATATACGTACTGAGCCATTTTAACGAATAAGAAAATTTAAGTAAATGACTAATATTCTTTTACCATACGAATATATAGTTAAGGTACACGAGCTTGGGCAGGGACGGTATAGGAGAATTTTTTGTGCGTGGTACAGCCATGCTGCAGCTATATTAGTAGTATAGTTGTACCACGAATGGGTTCGACCGGGGAAGGACCACGCTCTCACAGAATACCAGCGTAAAATGGCAGCTTGACATTGCTGTGTATCGTATGGTGAGTGTAGAGAACCAGAGACCCACTTTACTGGAAAAGAGGTATTCCATCTTAGTCCTCAAGGGTGACGACGCATCTGCATTTTGATTCTTTATTGAGGATAAATGTAGAAGTCTATGGGTAACAGCAACCACTTATCATCAAGTGGACTGTGTGCTCGTTTGTCACCCTATCCTAAAAAAAGAAACCATTTCGATTACGCCAGACATAATATACCAAAACCAATGGCGTCAAAAGTAGGTACAAGACGTTTGGTACTACGATCGTTAATCCATCTGACAAGCGTGACAACTGAGGCGAAGCCTCTCACAGCGGGAGAGGACCATGATATGGATCCTATACGATATATATAGGATAATATACCTATACTTGTCTAGAATAAGTTAAATGAAACATAATTTATTTTTCAATCCTATGCTACCCTAATTTACAAGAGCGATGGCCTCATTGGAAAGGCATAAATTTCAGGATAATTTAATTTTAACGTTATCAAAAGCAGATGTTGCGCTTAGGTAAGACTTTTTTCATTTATTTTTTAATTTCAGTTTAAAAGCTGAAAGCTAACTTTTCCCATAGATACCTAAAACATTTATCGCTTTCTTTAAACGTTATTAGACTGTGCTATACTTTTTAAATTTATTAGTTTATATGCACACGTACAGACACTAGATGATATAATAAATGACGAATCGGCATCGCAGTGGCTAAGTATTTGTGTGCTCCATTGTGGACCACTGGTTCAATTCCCTCATGGAACATGTACCTATATGGCGTTAGTTTAAAAATAATTCGTTCTTTCAACTGACAACTAAAATAAAAGTCGATTAGGAAAGCATCTTTATTGATAAATCAAATAAAACACTTAAACGGCAATATAATTTGCAACGACTTCGCCAACACACATTGAGGAATCACAGTTGAATATTTTTTGTCCTCCAACAAAAAAATGAATAAATTTCGCATGCACGCTTACAAAATAAATTTTTTACACAAACTTTAATCCATAATATTTTTCCCTTTCTTTTATCGTGACTCTACTTCATTCACATTAGCATTACACTCATGATATAATAAATATTGAGCAAATTTAAATATAGCTAACTAGAGCTACTTTTACTTTAAGTTTTACGTGGTAGAGCCTTGCTGCAGCTATATTAATAGTATGGTTGTAGCACGAATAGGTTGGCTCGATCGGGGAAGGACCACGCTCTCACAGAATACCAGCGTAAAATAGCAGCTTAATGCTGCTGTGTTTCGTATGGGGAGTGTAGAGAATCGGAGACCCTTTTTACTAGAAAAGAGGCATTCCATCTTAGTCCTCACGACTGACAACGCATCTGCAAACGAAGATAGATGTAGATGTCTATGGGCCGCAGCAACCTCTTACCAACAGGTGGATTGTGTGCTCGTTTGTCACCCTTATTCTATAAAAAAAAAGTGAAAAAAATTTCTAAAGCATTCAAGAACACTTAGCTCAACGATGAAAAACGAAAAAAACACTTAGCTAAACGATGAAGAACGAAAAAATATGTTTTAAAATTGGATGAATTTTAACGCGATAGCATAATATATTGAGTTATGAAACATGACAGAAAACACCACCAACATCAACCTCAGGTAACTTAGATGCCTTGAATAATTTGCTCATTCATTTACTCAGTACTTTTAAGGACGGTGACGCCTGCTTTCATATAAAAATGCACACCGTTGGCGTAGAAATGGCACGATCAGTTGAACTGAGGAGAAAGACAAAAAAAACAAATCAAGAACATAAATTGAGACAAAATTCAAGCCTGTGATATGCCAGCCAGTGCTACAACCACTCCGATTTGTCATGACCGCAACAATTGGCTTGTAGATGGCGTCAGAAGTAAGAAGAAAAGAAGAAAGAAGGAAAGCGACCAACTGTAGTAACAAAAATAATTAAAATATGAAACACTGTTAGGAAGATATCATGCTCAATCACGCAAAAACTTATGCAATATAAATACTGTTATCATTATATCCACCATGTCGTTTCCTTTTGTGTTCAGTGAAATGCAGTGCTCATAGTCAGGGTGACACCCTTAGTGAAATAAAGGTTGTAAATTATATTAATAAATGAAAGCAGACAGTTGCTTGTGAACTGTGGATTCGGAAGTTGTAATAAAATGTTAGAAATGAGCCTAGATGTTGAGTTGTATAGGATCTGAAATTTGGCGATGAAAGATTAAAGAAGCTTGCGCTACGAAGAATAAATAATTCCAGATCAGAGAAGTAATGATTATATTTGTAATTATTTTCAAGAGGATTTCAGGAACGGATAGGATCAGCTTATGATTTAATAGACAAAAGTGTATTAACATCGTCAATAGATACAAAGCAGAAAATGAGAAGAGTTCATGTCGAGATTTCATAAAATTATTTTAGGTAAAAATGTGAATTTAGGTAATTAAATAGGACAGATATATTTAGAGTTTAATTTTTGGCAAAGTTATTAGGAATTACCTAATATCGATACCATACATATGCGAGATATATATAGCTGACGCATCATTCCCTAAATCAGCGGAGTTCGTCAATAAATTATGTGAATGTAGGACACGATTAATTTGGCAACAGAAACCGCATGTGGTCGGAACCTGCAATGTTAGTCACATACTCTGTTGCCACAAACATCAAAGCTTGTACGTATTTAATCCAAATTAATATTTGAGACCATGAGAAGTAACATAAATTTATATTTAGTTTTATTATTACAGTGTAGCAGATACTAAAAGATTGTATATTTAAAAGCGAGTTCTTTATTCCTAATAGTTTAAACCGGACGTCTCTTCTATCTAAAAACCGATTATTAAACCAGTAGATTTACAAGCAAGTAAATTACTTGAGTACATACATAAATTTATATTTTATCTGTAATTAACAAATTTGTTGCTAAAAGTTAAAGTTACAGCATATACAACATGTAACAAAAACCCTGTGGTTCCCGTTAAGTATGTTATCAGGAAATAAGTTTTTTTTTAAAAACTCGACAATATTTTTTTTTATTTTATTAAATAAAATAATTTTATGTGGTTTTATTAACTCTTAATGACAATAGCCGATGCTAAAGCTAAGTAAAACGGGGTCTTTGACAATCCTCTTACTCCCCAGACAATGCAGAGGTAATAAAGTCACATACAATTTGCATACAATTTTTTTAATAAAATAAAAAAAATATTGTTCGAGTTTTAAAAAAAAACTTATTTTTATACGTTTAAATAATGATCCTGATAACGTACTCAACGGGAACCACAGGGTTTTAGTTACATATTGTATACGTCCCACAGCTGGGGCACAAGCTTCCTTTCATTTCTGAGAGGGTTTTCGGGCAAGGAAGGCATTTAAGGCGGGTTGTTTTGTTGTCACGATGTTTTCCTTCACCGTCGAGTAAGTGATAAATCAGAACTAAAACTTTT